TGTTACACACTTACTTTCCCAATCGCTCCCAATGCTTGCGGCCGTCAAAAACCTCCGTTGCACGCTTAGAACGCCCTCACGCTTCAAACGCTGGATCTACCTAAGTGTTCAAGTAGCGCAAAGCGCTCAAATCGCTGACGGGCACTCAGAGCGCTGAGGTAAGGTATGAACGCACTCTAATCGCACTATCACGCTAGCTCTTAGCCTTTTATCCTAGTTATGAACTCCCTCTAGTAAAAGTTAGTACCAGCTTAGTTAGTGCAGAATCTTGCTCTTAGCAGAGCTCAGGTTAAGGAGTTTGACGATAAGAGTAGCTAGGATTTATGATTCCCTGATTTTCATTGTATCTAACCTTGTCACAGTGAAAGAACTGATTTTGAGTACTTCTTCTAGCTGAATCTTTTTTGATTTGACCACGTTTCGGAGATAAGCCCTTCTTCAGATCATTCAGTCTTGAATATTAGCAGCTATACCCACACAATAATGTCACGGCGGAAATAGTAAACACAAGAGACAGCAGCAACCTATACCATGTAAAAAAAGGAGAACAGAGAAGATAGGAAAAGGTGTTCAAGACCGGAGATGTTTTTCACCTGTGTCAGGTGTTGAGCCTCACAGTTAGAATGGATTCCTTACAGTACCCAAGTGAATTGTTGGCTGGCGTCTTCAGGTTGTGTCTCTAACTGTGTCCCTAACCCTAGAGCCTTTCATTGTTCGGCTGTAAGTGTTCTCTGAATTACAAGTCTTGATTTGCGGTTACGGCATGTGAGAGGGTTGTAAAACAACCAGCTTATGGTTTTTTTATAAAACTCAGTAGTCAGATAAGCCGTCTAGGGCATTGGAGCTCTTATCACGTTATCTCGCTCTCAATGTCGTTTTTGCATCAGTAAAAGAAATGCTCAGTTAAGCGTTTAATAAGTATCAGGGGAACTGCTGTTTCGATACAGAATATGCTCGCCGGTACCGTATCTCTTAGAATGTATGCTCTTTCCAGGTTTGATTTGGTAGTTTTCACTGCTAGTATGGAGGTATATGGAACACATGTTGCTGATAAACTCGATAATGGGCGAGGGATTCTGAACAGGAGGTTGCTATCTTGAAGATTAGCTTTTTCCTTTTGAAGTATTGATGACATCAGTGCACTACGTAAGAACTAATTCATTGCACCATTTCGTGTGATGCACGAGGATCCGATGCTGTATTCATTACATAACACCTTCACTGTTCGCCATCGCTTACGGGGGGGGGGGAGGCATTTTGACTCTTGTAGACCTACGAAATGTAGCGGGCTCCATTTTAACACCTTTTTGGGCAAAGTGGTTCACTCACCCTAAGCCTGTACCCTCTAAAGTCCCAAATCCACAGCTTCTGGTTCGCAGTCGCAACGTAAGGAAGGAAAAAGGATAGGCGAGAAAATCAATATGTACCATTTCGTGGCTGGCTGGAGGGAGGGGCCATACTCGTCCTCGCCAAATTCGGGTTGACTTCTCTCGGTTTTTTTCTGTATCATGTGAGCGATAACCTCCTACTCATGCTCGACGACAGTTTTTTGGGGAAAGGTCGGGGAGTTTAGAGAAAAAATTTCTAGAAAGTAATAGGGGGCTTGAAAAATCCAAGTAGATGGTTGGTAGGATGTGGGTGAGGAAGGGGGTCGTACCAGAGCAACTCCATCGACAGGATATGCCCTTCCCCTTTGCCAAGCTGCGCCTCAGTCCAGTTTTTCGTAAGTATATGTGTCTCACTTGTTTTTGTTAACATAAGTAAATTCTTTCCATTTTGCATTGGGTTTTTATGCACAAAAAAGTCTCGTTTAGATGTGATTCTCTTGAAATCACATTTAAACGAGACTGGTCATTGAATGAATTTTTACATGCTTATAGGTATTTCCGTCAGCACTGTACGATGGATTATGGAGGATACACGAAGGATCTTAGCGCTATTCACCAAGATCTGTCGTCAATTTTTATTTTAGACAATTCCCCAGGAGCTTACAGAAAGTTTCCTCGTAAGTTAATCCATCACGTGGAAGGCTTTTTCTGAGGATTCTCACTTCCTATCTTGGTTTCTTTATCTTATATTGGTATCTTATAATAGAATGATCACGTGGTATCTTGCGGGTATCTTATACAATAGAATGATCACGTGGTATCAAGAAGTTGCCATTGCAGAAAATGCTATTCCGATTCCATCTTGGTTTTCGGATCCATCGGACACGTGTTTACTGAACTTATTACCATTCCTCGATGCGCTACGGTTTACATCAGATGTGCGAAGTATTTTGAGTCGAAATCAACAGAGTTTCAATCAAGTGTGGTGATGCTGATAAAGTTGCGCTGTCGTTCCACTTGTGAGTTCTTCACTTATAATTCCACCTTTTTCCAATTTACTCGATTTTCGCTCTTCAACTTGGTTTTCTGAGAAAAGAAGAGAGTGAATATAATGTTAGGCGCTGTTTTCGGTGTAGTTGGCGCTCCGCATCTGCTCTCAAGAATACTAATGAGCTGACAAGGGAGGTCGTTCAGGGCGTGGTGCGCTTTTCGAAAACGGGTTTTTGCATATTGTAGGGGTTCATGCAAGGACTCGAAAAGTGTGCTTCATTTTCGCTGCGCGCTTCCAGGAAAGGTAAAAAACGAGTGAAAAGAAATCTGTGGAATCTGCTTCGCTCTGGCCTCTAGTACGGCGTAGCTCACTTGCAACTTTGACCAGTTGCTGAGTGGGGGGTCCTTATAAAGGGGCTATTCAAATCGAAGCGAAAAATCGCCGCAAGTGAGCTTCCAACTTTGGGTCACGTGCTCAAGGGTGAACGGCTTCTTGCAATGGTTTTCGATCACGATAAGAGCGCTAAACACGGTCGAGCATCGGATGGGCCGTAGCGCGATAGAGTGGAGGTTTCGTAATCGCGGACAGTGTGGGGTTTTGGGGTTGAGCGGGTTCCGACTCCCTCGCGTTCGTGGCTTTTTGGCATTTTCCAGGTTTCGCTGTTCTTCGTCTCATAAGTGTCTGGCGGCAATGAATATTAACTCGGATATCTGCCATTTATGGGCACATTCCGAGTAGCTGTACCTCATGAGTCAGTGCTATTCCAGCTACTTCGATTTTCACGCACCATTGAACAAGATTGTTGCTGGACGTTGATCCTCATAGGCTATACAGTGGATCTGATTGCGAATTCAGTAACTTTGGTGTGGTGTCAATTATAGACAATTTGGGGCCACATCTTCTTTCCACTGAATTTGTTATGTACACCAATATAGGGAACGTTCACCGCTATTCTCTATTCTGTCTCCAAATTGCGTGGATGCCAAGAATAGGTGTTATATTTGTGATCAGAGCCACTGATTACCACTAAAAACGAATTTTCGGTCGAAACAATGTTTTGACCTTTCTGGGTTTGCTTATTGGGTTGTCCGGGGTCCGTAGCGTCAACGATACGCATCGCTGTTACGAAGATGTGAGACTCCGCTCACACTGCCGACCAAATGGTCACCTACAACCCGAAAAAGTCAAAAAAATTTTTTCGCTCAAAACTTGCTCCTAGGGGTAATCGACAGTCCTGATCACGATTCTAGACTTTATTTTCGGTTCCAGTGCCATCTGGCACCGGCATAGCGCCGAAGAGCTGAGTCTGTGCATACTAACGAATTCGAACGAAAAAGCAGTTTTGCTCCATAAAAGTGGGACTGTTCAGTTTATCGTGAATGTTTTTGTTAGGACCAATCATTTAGACAAACATGGATCCAAAAAATGAAAAACTGTAGAAAAGCAAAATTTTGTCCTCGGTGGGATCCGAACCATCGACCTATTTTTTTTTCTTTTTTTTATTCGCAGAAGCGCGCAGCGAAAATGAACCTCAGTTTTGAGGTCCTCGTATGTGCCCCTACAATATGCACAAGACCATTTTGAAAAAGCTCACACGCCCCTGAACGACCTTCCCTTGTGAGAGCAAAAGACTCGACCCAGACACTCTTTTGCTCACAGCTCAGCATTCTTTTTATGAGGAATGCAGATAGTTATGAAAACGTCACCATCACAAATCAAGGATATATCATTAAGTTCCTTAGTTTTTCTGTTGCCAGCTGAACATTTCCTAAGTAACTGCCTCAAAAGTAGGTCCAGTTTTTTCAAAAAATGACGGGTATTATGGCTCAACTACTAATGATATGGTGGCAGTCATCAATAGTGAAGGAAAAATATGCCTCAGATAGGGCCTCATGCCGAAGCGAGCTTGTAGCATAAGGCGAAGAAAGGGTGGGCGTGGTAAATTCTCTCTCACTGGTGCCAGCATTCTCCCTATCTCCCTATTCTCACCAATTAAAGGAAAGATTGCTAGCAAGAATTGCATCACCACAGCGTTAGGAGAAATGAACATTGGGTGATGGACTTTGCTTTGCCCTTGTTGTGGTCGAATGACCTCGTTACCGTGCATTTTCGAGCCGCAAACGTAACATATGAGGAGGAACGATGTAACGGTGAATGGTGCGCTTACCTCGCGCGTGATCGGGGGATCAAATTCCGGATTGCCTCCCACCCAAACCAACCAAGCCTTCTACCCCTTGGTAACGGTGAATTGGTACCATATTCCTTCGGAGGATAAAAACACTGATCACACTTGTACAGTCCTCATCATTGCGGACCGGTGGGGCGTGTCGGCCAGAAGGAGTGCGCACACTGTTGA